CGGAGATAACGAAGTTGGATGATGGGAGGCAGGATGAAGAGGTAGTGAATTTGCTTGGCTTGAGTGCAATGGTGTCTGTTGCTGGTGCAGAGGCTGAGGATGGGGGTGGTGGCTGTGGTGATGGCTGTGATGGTGTCTCTGGTCGAGATTTTGATGCTGAGTGTACTGATTCTGCTGTGTGTGAAGTTGGTTGCTGTGATGATGTGTTTGATGAGAATGTGAACTGCGAGGGATAGAATAATCCGGTGCTGGATCCAGCCCACCAGAATGAGCGGCGGCTGCAGCTGCCGCGGCAGCTGCAGCTGCTGCCGAAAGTAAAGGAAGTTGGGCTGACAAACTGTTATATAGTTCTAAAGAGCTGGTGAAATCATTCTTAATCTGGTCATGGTAACCATTTGTCATGCCATTATTGATAAGAGTTGCTGCACCTGAGCTCTTTTGTAGGGACCGCAGGGTATTTGAAGCTGAAGGAGATTGACAGGAAGGAGGAAATGAGGTGGATAAAGCTGAAGAGGGAGAGGATAAAGATGGTGGATCTAAAGAACTAGAAGAGGGTGCGGTGGGAAGCACTGGGCTGGGCGTTGGGAGAATTGCTGTTATGATTGGAGACAATTTAGATGTTGTGTTGTTCACTGAAGAAGCCAATGGTGATTCATGAGTTGATTCATTTTCCTCTGGTGAGGAGAATCGTCTTGTAAGCTCTTCTTCCAGCTTCTCCTGAGGTCTCAGTCTAGTCAACCCAGAACCTTGGGACTTCGGCAGTGAGGTTTGAGTCGAGCGTAGCCCGGCTGCGGTAGCGACGAAGGAGGACGCTGAAATAGCGGCTTGAGTAGTCAGCTGAGTGGGCTCGATTGATTCGCCATTTATCGTGGACAACTTTCTACTTTCCGGCTCTTCCATCCTAGCCAATTTAGGGCAGGAGACCACCTCTCGGTCTACCGAGTTGAGAGTCTCGACTTCAGCGCCTTCGACTGCGATTTCTAGACCGACTCCCGAACTCTTGTTGGTGTGCCCTCGTTTCTGGCCAGCCGAGGACGAAGCGATTCTAGCATGCTGGTTGTTACTGTGTTGATACTGTTGTTGGTAGGGCTTTTCCGTTTGTTTGCCAGCTGTGGCGGCCATTGCGAAAACGGCCTTAGCAGCCTGATAGAGATTGTGCCCTAACCCAGATCCTCCAGCTGGGAAGAAGAGTCCTCCATCAGCAGGACACCCACCTGACGTTTGGCCGGTTCCGGCAAATGCCGGCGAGTGTCTTCCGAGCGATGTCAACGGGCGTGGACAAGAGGCTGAAGTTGTGGCCCCTGATCCTGTAAGATGGGCCAGTGACTGCATAAAATTAGTCATTCCGATACGAGTTGGGCATGTTGAGTCCGTCCCCACAGAGCAAGACTGGCGGTCGCCATGTTGTCCGGGTAGAGCAGATGTCACCGTGTGAGGGGCAATGATAGGGGGCGAGGCAGCGGCAAGTGCCTGCTGGTATGCGGAGATGGCGGCGAAAGCGGCGGCAGCAGCAGCAGCTGACGAGGTTGAAGATGAGGGGCTGGAGAAGCCGCATTGGGGTGATGGAAACAGGATTGAGTGCATGGATTCGAATTTAGATTCATTCGCTGTAGCTGGACATGGTGGAGTCGGGAAGAGGTTGTAGGCCATGATCACCTGGCTACATGCGATATTCGATCCTGTTATATTTCGGCAAGGCTAGTTGAAAAATGATTTCAGAAATGTCTTTTAAGAGTTAAAGAACTCATGCACATGTAGACGAGACGTTAACCGAGTTCACTCGTCACCGCCCGAATAGCAGCGATGATATGAGTGAATGTGGTCTTGTAGGTCGTCAAAGTTTGAAGATGTGGGATCCAACCGACGTCAGAGATGGCACAGACTTGGTGTGAATGGCGCTGTTAGGCTGACACTGGAGGTACAGGCGTGAGATACCTAAGCATAGCGACGAAGGGTAGAGGTGGAGGGACAGAAAGCAGCTGGAGAGAAAAGGCGAGAGAGCGGGCACGTGCGTGAAGGAAGGGGCAAGTGGATGAGCGAACAACGAATGCAGCCACATACACTGACGCTGGCATAGGAAGACAGACCTGTACCAGCATACAGACAAGTGGAAACGGCACTTTGGTGCAACGGAGACGGGAGGATAAGGTGTGGCTGGGAGGAACTGAGGCGAGAGAGAACGAGTGAGATGAGACAAAGTTGTTAAGCCCGCTCGCAACGCGGACGCCGAGTGGGTGAGACAAAACGGAAATTCTGTGTGCCTGTGAAGCCGTTTTAGGGTGGCCAGACTATGAGTGACAGAGGCAAATGTGCTTGGCCTCCCATCCTGACATTGACTCAAAACCCCATCTTCACACAGTCTTTGATAGGACAGACGGAAAGGAAGGCGAGATTAGATTGTGTTAGCATACGTTCGTTCGCGTTGTCTATGTGTTTGTACTAGATACATGTTTCTGGCCTTATGGGTAAACAGGCGAGGATGACGGAGACGTGAGAGTCAGTGTGGTTGTGGTCAAGTGTGGGTTTGCTTGTGAGTCTGTCGAGGTCTCAGCATCAGTGAACACACCGGCGTGACGATAATCATGTCACACCCCAAGACCGAAAATAATACGTTGCATCTGTCTGTCCTCTATTAAGTTTGCGCTTCTGTCTACACCGCAATACACCTCATCCACTTCTGAGGTGTTTGTATACCTCGGTTGTCACTCCGACAACATAAGTGTAGAGAAAAGCTGTTTATTTACAATGCCACTTCTGCATTCAGATTGGCTGTTTTAATGTGTAGACTAAGCGTCTGCGTTTGCCTCCGTCTAGCCACTACTCATACGGCCATACAGGCGAGAATGTGTAGCTAATAGAGTGGGGATGTAGCCTCTCAGAGCGAGAGTGGTCGGACCGAATAGAAGAGAGAAAGTGTGACGGATAGAGGGAAGCAAGTTAGTTGTTGCGAGCGCTGATGATTGGCTTTTGCTACTGGATAGATTAGAGTCGGTGACAGATTTGAAAGCCAGCTCAACTAGAGGCCGGATTATTCACAGGACGATGCGCCTATTAACACACTTTAACCTCACCTCCTGGCCAACTTTTCTATAGAAGAGATGCTCTTTTCTCTTCTATGTGGTTTAAAAGGCAAATCATACGATCATTGCTTACCTGTGCATCTATTCAGCAGTCCAATCAATTATCTGTTTGCTCATCTATCCATTCAATAAATATACACATCACGCAAAAATGCATTCTTATTTAAGGCGAAAAATTAACTGATCCATTTGTCCATTCCTCTAGTATCTCTTCATATATAATCGAAATCTGTGTTTATAGGAATTCTCTTATGCAATTATATATTCATTCATTTATTAAATAATTTGTTTATTTATTCTAACAGTCGGGCACTCAGCCAAAAGTAGCTCCTTTAGCTATTCGTCAAATATATATGAAATGTATTCACTCTATTTCGTTTAGGATGAAAACTGGTGGGTGCGAAGAGAAACTGGGCTTTGATGAATTCCCCTCAGCAATGATAACTGGTAGTT